GAAGGACAAATACGAAACGAAGAGTAAGTTACCTACTACCACCAAATATCGATTATGATTGATTTATAACCAATATTAATCCTTATTTAAATCTCAAGAATACTACAAACGTACACCTCATGAATACAAGGAGAAGAAATACGAAGATGAATACTACAAATACGAAGACAAATACGAAGACAAATACGAAGACAAATACGAAACGAAGGACAAATACGAAACGAAGAGTAAGTTACCTACTACCACCAAATATCGATTATGATTGATTTATAACCAATATTGATCCTTATTTAAATCTCAAGAATACTACAAACGTACACCTTATGAATACAAGGAGAAGAAATACGATGATGACTACTACAAGGAAGACAAATACGAAGACAAATACGAAGACAAATACGAAGACAAATACGAAACGAAGGACAAATACTACACGACGAAGAAATATTAAATTGAAAAGGAAAAGCCCAAACATCTCATTTAGTTTGTTTGTAATTTGTTCAAAAGACAATAATTTTGAAACTGGTTATTTCCCTGTACATGATTTAAATTATTTTCGTTTTATCGTAAAATTTCTTGTTGATATTTTATTTTTTAATGTATATAATCTTTTCATTCATCAACATAATATTCGTAAATAAAATATTTTATCTAGGTGATTTATAAAAAAAAAAAAAAAAATGGTTGTAAACAATAAAAATGAAATACATTTGTTATCGCCAGTGAAAAAGTCACATTCACGACAAGTTTTTTTACATTATGAAATATATACTTCTGAGATAATTCATTATATTACAAGTTTTTTTTTGTGCGATGTAAAAGAGTGAAGTCAAAGAACGCCGATAACTAATAAATTCTACGTTCAAGATAATCGCATAAGTTCATGAAAAGAATATTCAGTAATAAACTCCATTATAACTCATGAAAGAAATCAGTGTCAATTTAAAAAAAAAAGAAAAATAATAATTTGCAATTTTAGATCTAAAGCTCATTTATCCGGATATTTTATGAAAAAATTTGATACTTTACGAATTTTTTATTTTAATTTAAAGGTTTTTCATTAGGAAATAAGCTAAATTAAATGTTATACGCTTTATATGGAACGAGAACATGAACGTATCTCCTGCTGCGCTATTGATGTAGGGGTTGGAATCGATTCAAATAAAATCGAATCGAAATCGATTTTAATCGATAATCGTATAAAAAATCGAATCTATTTTGGGACATATATACTGTATATGAAGTGGAAGTTGAATTAGATTGTAGTTACATAATATATGAACGAATGTAAATTTTTTTTACAAACAATAATTTAACAAACAAAATATTAATAAATATTAAACAATAAATGGTGTAAATTGTAAATTATTATTATTAAACTAGTGGTTTTACCCGGGGGGGGGGGGGGGGGGGCTAACATGACGTTAAATAAATTTTTTAAGGTTTTAGCATATCAAAATTTAAAATAAGTAATATAATTTATTGATATTTTTTTATAAATAATCTAACCCTAACTCTAAACTATCCCTAATCTTAACACTAAATCATCGTTTTATAAATCATATCCGACTATAACTTTATTTTTTAATTATTTTTTTCATTGAATGTTTAATGTTCGCCCGCGATTTTTTAAAAAATTTTTTTTTTATAATCGCGTGTAGGGATGGTAACGGTCGGTCGAAGGCCATTGACCGACCGACGGTTAACTGACCGATTTTAACTGACCAGTTGACCTACGGTTAATAGTAATATAATTGAGCAAATAAAAAGTTTTTAATATTATTATTTGATTCTTGCTTTAACGTTAACGTTAAAAATTCTAGCATGGCATTTTTTTAAAACTACTTTGTCATTTTATTTAGTGGCGCAGCATTTATCGCGGATTGTTTAATTTTTTTTTTTTCAAAATTCAAAGTTTTTAATTTATAAATAATTAAGATGGAAGCATTAAAATTTTTCAAGAAAATGATAATATGCGTTAAATCAATACTGGACTCAACGATGCATTTGTAATAAAATGTTGATTTTGTTAATTTTATATACATAGTGTTTTTATTATTACAACATGGTTGTTCAATCTCAAGTCAGTCGGTCAAAATCGGTCAGAATCGGTCGGTCATCCGGTTGGTCAGAAGCCTTTGACCGATCAATATCGGTCACGGTTATGATCGGTCATGACCGTGACCATTAGCATCCCTAATCGCGCGTTCTAATATTTAATTTTATTTTTAATATTTTTTAATATTTTTTTAATTTACATATATATATCCCTATTTTTTTTAATCTAATTGTTTTGTTTTTATTTTCCGGATTTAATTTATTTAGAGTGTTCTCAAGCACCTAACTAATTGATTCGATTATATTCGATTAATCGAAATAGAAATGGAGTCGAATCTTGGAGAAACGATAATCGCGATTAAATCGATTCCAATCCCTAGAATGATGATGTCTCCTATGGTATTATGATCGATATATCTTCTACGATCTCTACTACGAGATCGTGAAATGAGAACGGGAACGTGATCGAGGAGGTATTCTTTTGGCGGTATTCGTTCGACGTCGATCTACATGCAAATCTCGTCCGAGTCGGTCTAAAGAATAAAATAAATGTTGTAAACTTATTATCACGTTTAAAATAATGAATTATAATTGAGTAATTATTTACGTGTTTGTACCCATATATCCTTCCTCATAATAAGCGTCTGGAATTCTCGTAACCTTTCTCATTTGTTTTATGGTTTTCGAACCACGGCGAAATAATGTTAAGACTAAAAATACCATCTGAAATACTCGTCCATAAAGCAGAATGACTCCTGGAACTTTCACAATCGGTGATGATGTCGACGTTACAAATTAATGATCGAGTGGTATTCTCTGGCCATTGGATAATTGATGTTGTCATTTCCGATGTTGGTATCGTTCGTGCTTCATTATAAAATAAAATTTATTTTAAATTATGGAAGATTATCGAGTAAATAAATTTTATTGTGGTTATTAATTTTTAGTTAATATATATATATTTCAAATACAAAGGATAGACTGTATTTATATTTCTTTTGAGAAAGATTTCTTTTTATGACTAAAAATTCAGTAATGTGACATCATCATAATTTATTATAATGTATTGTTACAGTTGAATGTAATTCTGACCGAAATCCTCATAACTTCGCTTGAAAATCGTTCATGATTATTATAGTTAGTCCCTTTGACGATCATTTGCCAGGCGTCACAGTGCCAGGATGTCATGGCGCTAGTTTGTCAAGATGCCAGTTTGTCAAGGTGCCAGTATGACAAATGGTCAAAATGCCAGGATGGCTTAATTAAAAATC